ATTTGGAAAGTTTTCATTCATTATTTTTTTCAAATTTTCTTCTCTCCTCACTGTCCCCTCTTCCTCTCCATCTTTTTCACCTCCTTCAGGGACTCCAGTTGCATATATATTAAGATCACCAATGATCTGTTTATCTTCTTTTTATTTTTTTCCTGTGTTTTATTTTGGATAGTTTTTGTTGCAATGTTTTCAAGTTCTTTAATCTTTTTTTTTTCCTAGTAATTTCTAATGCTATTAATCCCACACAGTTATGTGTGTATATGTATGTGTGTTTTACGATTTTCAATTTTTTAAAAATCATCTCTAGATGCTTGATTTGGCTTTTTTTTTTTTTTAATGTTTTCTATTTCTCTGCTTAACATGCTCAATCTTTCCTCTACTGTTCTGAACACATAGAATATAGTTATAACCACCTTTTAAATGACTTTGTCTACTAATTCTATCATCTCTGTAATTTTTCAGACTCTCGATTGATTCTTCTCCTCATTATGGGCCATACTTTCCTGCTTCTTTTCGCATGCCTGATACTTTTTGACTGGATGGTAGACATTGTAAATTTTACCTTATTGGGTGCTGAATCTTTTTAATTTTCTATAAATATTTTTGTGTTTTGTTCTGGGACACATTTAAGTTACTTGGAAGCACCTTGATCCTTTTGGGACTCTGAAGCTTTGTTAGGCATGACTATAGCAGCATTTATTCTAGGGCTAACTTTACCCCACTGCTGAGGCAAGACCTTCTGAGTCCTCTACCGAATGCCCAGTGAACTATGTCATTTTCCAGTCTGAATAATGGGGTCAGGAACAATTTCTAGTTCTATATAATCACTGGGTACCTTTCCACTCTGGTTGGTGGCAAACAGGAACAATTCTCCACCCTATGCAAGTCTTGGTGATTGTTTTCTTTGCTCTTTACCGCGGTAGTTTCCTTGGTAGTTGGCCTTGGGCAGTTTCCTCGCATGCGTGTGTTAACCAGTACTCAGCTGAAGACTGAAGTGAGACCTTCTACACATCTCCAGAGCTCTCTCTTCCTCTGTGAGTCTCTCTCCTCTGCAGAACTCTACCTTCCTCGCTCTAGCTGCCTTGGTCTGCCTCGTGCCTTGGTCTGCCTGGTCTTCCAGTTCTATCTCCTGAACTCAAGGAATCTGCCTAACTCTTCCTGGGTTACCCCTCTCCATACTGCAGCCTGGCAACTCCTTCTGAACAGTAAGATGAGGCAATAATAGGGTTTACCACAGATCATTTATTTCCCCTCCCTCAGGGACCACTGCCCTACACTGCTGCCCAAGGTCCAATGTCTGAAAACCATTGTTTTATGTATTTTGCCTGTTTTTTAAGTTGGTTTAGACAGAGGGTAAATTCAGTCCCTGTTGCTCCATTTTGGCTGGCTAGACTGGATTACTATAAATTATTGTGGTTCTGTTGATAAAACAGATTGCTAAGGGTGTCACCTGTTTCCAAAACAAATCTCATTTAGTAATCTGAAATACTCTTCATTGCCGTCTACATCCCCAACAGGTGCAGTAACCCTTGTGCAATGGATGTTACATCAGAGTTGCCTGCAAAAGAATTTTTCATTAGACAATCTAATTTTCCACTTTGGCTTACATTATAACTCTTGAGATGCTCTCTCAATTCATTTCTCATTACTTTCTCTTTTTCACTGACCTCATACCCTAAAACTTTTCTCTGTTTTCCTCCCTCTTTTTCCCCTCTCTGTCAGGGACCAGTAATCTGTTCATGAAATTTCGTGATGTTTTGGGATTAGAATTTATCCTACTCTAGTCAGCATACAGTCTTTGGAGCCCAAAGGGCTTGGTGTATTGGGGCTGAATAAAAACAGGATCCTTAACCTCAAGGAAACTCAAAATCTTTTTATATGAGTAACCACTCCTACTAATCACTCTTACTGTTTAAAAGAGGAGCACATCTGCATTTTAGGATGGATTTATATACAGAAGTAGAAAGTTCAAGTGAAGGAATTCTTGTTTTTCTTGTTGCTTCTCAGCTTCAACAACTGTTTATTGAGTGCTTGCTATAATTAAACATTGTAGTGTCACCTAGGAGATTGAGGCAGATTACTGACATCAGTGGGTTTATAATCTTGTGGAAGACTGACACAAATTGAGAAATACCCAAGGTGTGGCACTGCAGTAAATCTTTAAGATTTCATAGGAAGATGTGGCTATTGAGGGCTGGAGAGATTACAGAAGGCTTAGAGAACTAATTCAGGAAGGAAATATGAATTTAAGGCAGAGAGGTATGAGCAGAATTAGAAGAGTCCATAGCTTGTCTAGGGACAACCAGAAAAGTTGAAGTGAAGGGATCCTGCTGGAGAATAATGGGTGAGAAGTTAAGTCCTATCTGTGGAGTCCTCACGTGCTAGGCTAAGGCATTTGGACTGTAGAGAGCTATGGTTGTTTTTTGGTTGGGGTGCAAACGTATAAAGATTTGTTTGGAATAGGCAGGGTGAGGGTCAGTGTGTAGAGGAAGGACAAGGACTGGTGGGTAGTCTTGAGGCTGGGGACTATGTCTTAATCATCTTTGAATTCCCTAACCCTTGAGGGCATATAGAAGGTTATCATTTTCCTTCTAAATTGTTAATGCTCTTGATACCCATTGGCACTGTCAATGGCATAACACATTATTTTAAAGAACCACTCTGTGCCCAGTGTTATTTCATTCTAAGGGCTGAAGGCTGAAAAAATTGGAATCAAGACTCTTTCAAGCCTTATTTGTTTCCCTTTCAATTCCTCATTTTCCTCCTCAAAGGAAAAGGTACTCAGCCATCTTTACAGAAATTACACAACATTGTTACTGGCAATCCCTCCCCATCCCTAATAAATCCGCATTGTCTCAAAAATCTTTTAAAAAAAAGACAGACCACACAAATATACATAAACCCAGCCAGGCCACGCACACTCTCCCAACATAGCCTAGCAGAGATGCAAATTCCCAGATGAGCAGAGCTCACACAATGCAGATTTAGGTACACACACACACTCACTCTCACGTAATACATCGCCTAGGTCGTATAACCATTCGTTTAGACACGCAAACCTTATGCTTAGCGGCGCAGACACACACTGTGTCCACCCATTCTACACTAAAACTCACCACGTTGCGCACCTCTAGCAAGCCAGACAACCCGCGTCCCCAGACCCCGCCCCCCAAAGCGCTATTCCGCAAGCTGGTCGCTTCTCTAGCCTCCGAGCTCTCTAGGTTGTATCACCGGCGCGCGCCGGTTGCGTCATCAAGGCGCGGCATTGCAGCAGGCACCCGGCGGAGTTTTGTGAAGTGTGAGCTGCTGCAGCAGCTGAAGCCAGAGAGAGGCTGGTGTGCGAGCCGTGGGGGCGGGTGCGGGCTGCGGGAGGCTGCTTGGTGCCGGGAGCGCCGGGAGCGCCTAGACAGGTGCGTGGTCACCCTTCCCCGCAGAACTCGGTGCGACTCTTGCAAGTCGCCGGGGGTTTCCCGTGCCCCTCTTCCCCTTGCCCCCGAGCTATGCCCCCCACTTCTCTCCCCTAGAAACGGGCCGGTTTGTGCCAGAGTGGGGGTCGGGACTGTTCACTCCCCAGGGAGCCCAGACTGTGGCTTGGATGCATCCTAACCACCTGAAGGGGCCGGGGCGGCCCCAGCTCCGGGTCCCTGGGGGTATTGTTTTTAGCATTGAGGCGGCAAGGATGCTCTGAGAGCAGCTGGTGCTGAGGATCATCCAGTGACAGCAGCCACCCTTGATTGGACTGAACGCTCACTGTGTGTCAGACTCAGTGCTAGGCTCTTTGTGTGTATTACCCAGCCCTCCCAGCAACCCAGGAGGAAAAATCTATCATATCACCCCCATTTGCGAGATAGGGAAACCGAGGCATAGAAGTTAACCAGCTTGCCCAAATTCACGTAGCTGGTAAGCGGTCGTGGATTTGACATCAGAGCTCACTCCCCTGTACCTGCCCCTTTCAGAGCCCATGGTTGGCTGACTGCATCCCACGCTGTCGGGTTCCTCTGAGTTTTTTTTTTAAAACTCTTCGACCTTGGGTAAACCCTGTGGGGAGGGAGGAGGAGCCAAGCGTGGACTTCCTATTGGCACATGTCTTTGTCTCCCTCCCCTCCTCCTCCAATCACCCCTGCCCTGTTGTGCCTTCATATTCTCAGGTAGCAGAGGGCTCCCCCTGTTGTAGGGACATTTTACACTGGAAACTGATAGCTAAGTGCTGATGTTTTATAATATGTAAGAACTTTCAAGCCAGGTGCATTGCTTTACAATTCTGCCCCCTCTCTTATTATTTTAGATTGTTACTTAAGTTGTAAAGGATGTGTATTTATGTTGATTTTAACAGTTTTCCTGCAAATCCGTACAGGGATTGTGAAGAAATCAGAATATGCCATTCAGGGAACCCTGTTAATGTGGACGTGACCTTTCAGAGTTTTGAAAGAATAATTTAGGGCCATATGAGAATTGGCCAAAAGCTAAAAACAATTTGACAATAGAGATGTTAGAAAGCTTTTATAGATTAATATCCATTCTTTTTAGGAATTTACTGTTACTGAACATTTTCCCTTATGATAAGAACAGTGTGCTTTTGTTTTGGAGTTTTGTGGACGTATTAAAAGTATAAATATTGATTCTTTTAAGGCATATGAAAATTAAGAGCTTAATTCAGTTTAAGTGGGAAACTTGAAAGGTGTCCTAATTGCCTTTACTCATTTTACAGTGAAAACTATGAACAACCCCAAATTCCTGACACATAATTTTTTTAAATGATCTACTTTTGTGCATATAGGTAACATGTATTTAATTAAATAAACACATACCTTCCTTTCCTGAGGAACTAATTATTAACACAAATGAAATAATTCTTTATCATATACTTGAAATAAATCATTATTTACATTTGCAGTCCCCTGGGTGGTGCAGTAATGCTCTCGGCTGCTAACTGAAAAGTTGAGTCCACCATAAGTGCCTTGGAAGAAAGGCTTGGTGATCTACTTCCAAAACATCAGCCGTTGAAAACCCTATGGAGCACAGTTCTACTCTAATACACATGGTTGTCATGAGTTGGAATCTACTTGAAGGCAACTGGTTTTTGGACTGGTACCCTTGCAAATGACTATTACTAGCTATTTTGTTTGTTTAATCTATGTTCAGAAAGCCTAAGGATACAAATGTTGATTTTTTTTTTCTTTTTGGTGCAGACAATGTAAACACATCAAAGTCCGTTTTTACACTTTGACTTAATACCATATTATGGAAGTCTGCCAGTGTTCATTTGCTATCCTGTCATGGAGCAAAATAATGTAGAAGTCAGAAATCTGAGTTTTGAGATTTACCCCACTGGATGCATCATTAATTTAAATGGTGTACATTTTTTTGTAGCACATGATTTGGAAGTTGCACTTTGTGACATGGATGAATCTGCACTGACCCTTGGCACTGTAGATGTTTCTTACCTGCCAAATTCAGCAGAATATAGTGTTGGTCGATGTAAGCATGCAAGTGAGGAATGGGTAAGTTGAAGATACAGAGTTAAAAGCATTCAACTTAAAAGTATTCATTTTAATGTTGCTAATGAAGATGGAAATACAGACTGAAACAGAGTAACAAATAGAGGTTAATAACTACAGAACCCTTAGAAGCTATGTTTATGAAGTTTCATAAGATTTTAAAAATTCTTACGATATTATGTTAATTGGGAAAAAAATTGGGTAGAAAATTTAAATACTGTGATTACATTAAAAAGCAAAATACTTTTGCATAAGGCAGGGGGCAACCCAGAATGTTTCTAGTAGTTGCTTTTGGATAGTGAGATTATCAGGAAACTTCTTTCTCTCAGTGTCTAGTTTTCATAAGTTATTTTTTTAATAAACATGAATTTTGTAATGGAAATAAACATTATTTAAAAAAAGTTAAAAAATAGTAAATAAGTTGTAGTGTGAACCCAGTGCAAAAGACATGCATTTTCTAATATTGTTTCCCCTGTATCAGTATAACAAATATATGGCATGTTTTATGTATTATCTCAGACACCATCTGCTTTTTATAAAAAATAAGGTTGGCATTTTTGTTGTTGCTTGTTTTTGAGAAGGTTTTATCAGTAGGATTTGAGCAACTGGTGAGCTCAAAGTTAAGGGAAAAATGTTTAGAGCAGAAGAGGAGGGTTTGACCCTAATTGGACAGTACAGCTATTACTTAAACTCCAGCCTTTAAACTGTCTTGATAAGATAAAGAAATGTTGCTTACGTTTACCTTGGTTTTCATTTCAAGTAAAATCTTTTAAGCTGTAGCATAACAACTTGCTCAAAGTATCAGACCTTTGTTGTTCTGTCACAGGAGTATGTGATCTAAGAGGAGTAAGTGTAACTCTTAGCATAGGGATCCCGGTGTTTGAATTTATTCATCCTGCTGCTGCCACAAGTCTGTTTGACCTTCTACAATGTAGTTTTTAAACCTTTGAGTGCTGCTTTGAATGTGCAGCCATTATTACCAGCTAATACCTTTCTTAGGTGCTCAAGTTTTGCTTATGTGCCAGGCTTTGTTCCAAGTGGTGATCTTAGAGGGAGTACCCTGAATGAAAATCACTGTCTGAGATGCACATGCTTATGCTCCCAGAAGAAAAAATTGCAGTATGTTTCTCTTCTATCTGAAAAATCTTCGTTTTTGCATTCAAATGGACAAGTATAATACTCTTGCATTTTAGACACTTTTATTTTTTTAATGTTTATTAGGGTGAGTATAGTTTCAGACCTACCGTCTTCAGATCTGCAACTTTAAAATGGAAAGAAAGCCTAATGGGCCGGAAAAGGCCTTTTGTCGGCCGATGTTGTTATTCCTGCACCCCCCAGAGCTGGGTAAGAATGCTACTGCTTTTGACTTTAATAAACAAAGGGAGATGTGTGAAATGTATGACTGACTTCATGTAACTTTGTTATTGTTTAGTCTTAATGGACTTAATTCATTTTTAGAATTTAGGCCTGTATTTATAATCCAAATATTGCACGTAAAGATGTTGACTTACTGTTTCTGTCCATTCATTTATTCAGTAACTCTTGGGTCCTATAGTTGATGGTAATATGCTGGTTCTTTTCTATTTCTAGCATGACTTTAGGGGAATAATAGGTCTTACTTTCAGTTAACTTCCAAAGAGTTGGGGAGAACCTGTCACATAACTTCTAGATGTTGGACAGCTTTAGCATTTAACCTTAAAATCCTAGCAAGATGACCTAGAGCTAACTAGATGAAATAAGCATTTAAAGCATTAGCTTTGCTCTGCTCTTCCTTTTGCTGAATTCCGTTCCTGGGTAGTGTCTGTGTTGACTTTGTGGTAGTAAAGGATGGTCGCTAAAATGTTAGGAAGAAGATTTAAGAAAGAGTGTTTGTGTGTGTATGTGTGTGTGTGTTATTTGAATTTTGGTGAAAAAACACAAGCCATGCAAAAACTTCCATGTTACAGTGTAGTATTTGAGAAGTTGATTGGGTGAGGAGTATGCTTTTGATGGCAGCTGAGGAGAGGAATGAGTTAGGACAGGATTGTAGAATCTAATGAGGCTCTGTTCCAAGGCAGTGGAGTTGCCTTTTAAAAGGTACGCCTGGACATAAGTGGCTCTCTGGGTTGGGCTGGTTAGTAGGACAGAAATTCTGCCATTTTTAAGTGCCTGTCATTTATAGAGGTTGCCTGAGAATAGCTAACTGCTCTTCGTCAGTTTTCTGCTCAGGTTTCGCTTGGCAGGAGCCAGAATTCATACTCTGGTGTGAAGGGATTTACTAACATGGGAGAGCTTTGTATGGAACCCAAGCAGTTTATGTTAAATGATCAGGTCTGCTCAAGAGTGTCTTGATACAAACATTGTTCCTTTAAAATCATAAGTGCCTTCTTGCAAGAATTTGGTAGACTGGAAGGATCATGGAAATTTGTAGTCTAGGAGCAAGGCCAGTTCAGATTAAAAGGCAGTGGAAATAAATATTTAAATAGAAGGTCAATGTGGCTTTTCTTTTTAGATCTGGCCTTTCACCTAATTCTAATTTTGAATGTTTAAAAGACCAAAATGATACATTAACTATAATGTGTTCTTCTTAAGTCCTAAGAGAGTATAAGAAATTATTTGGTGGTGGTACTGCTTGGAGTGAGATAGGTGGTTAGTATAACAGGTAACTGATTTTTGCCTAAATATAGTGCCTGGTGAAGCTGAACTTGATCTTGAATTGCTTCAGTGGCTGTTCATTTAAAATAATTTTTACTTGAAAATATTCTTATAGTAACTTTTTGCTATTTGCTACTGTTTCTCTGAAATCCTGTGTTTTTCTTCTTATAAAGAAATTTCACTTAAGTATTTTTACATCTTTAGTTGAGGGGGCACATTATGCTTTCTTAGCAATTGTTTGTGGCAGTTTTACCCTTTTGCCCACGTTGACAAAGCTGTAGACTTTCTCTTTTCCGCAAAGCTATCCCTGGCTATCTTTCAAGGTTACGTGGAATGTGGGTGACCTTTAGCCATACATTTTCTCATTAAGTGGGCAGTCATTTTAGGGAATGGAAAGAGCATACTCTTTGCAGCAAGAAGTGGGATTGAATCCTAAACCCCGGCTAGCCTCAATTTTCTTATCTCTAAAATGGGGCTAATAAGTCTTACGTGTCAGGATTATTGGGGTTTGGTAATCTTGCAATAACTGCATGGTTCTTAGCATAGTACCTAGTATTTTGGGAACACTAAAATCTCCAGTATTCCTGTCAGTGACTTAAACTCCCTGTAGCTTCAGGCTTTTCAGGTGGGATGAAGGACAGGAAGGGGAGAGGCACTATTTCCTTTGCAAGGTTTAAGGATTAATTTTGAGTATGTGACCTTCATGGAAGGCTAAACAGTACTTTTCAATAAAATAATTTTTCCTTATTACTTAGGTTTGTGAGGCAATGCTGAACTTTGTTTGAATTTTAAAAGTCATTACGAAGTAAAAATGTTAACTCTTCATCACTAATCCAGTTGTATATTTATGTCTACATTTATTTTGTTTTATGTAGGAGAAATTTTTCAACCCCAGTATCCCATCATTGGGTTTGCGGAATGTTATTTATATCAATGAAACTCACACGAGGTAAAAAGACCTTCTTACACTTTTAATAAATCTTAGAAGAAATACTGCATAACAATCAATCAACACACTTAAAGATGAATCTCTTTTATGTCTTAAAAGTTAACAGGATATATGCTTCTGACACAAGAGACTTTATCTGAAAATTGTAAACAATAATAGCTACCTGAGGGCCCTATTACTCTTATCACTGATGTAATTATTTAATACATATTTTCATAATGCAGATGTCACAGCTTTAATTTATTCATATATTGATTTTGCATCTGATATGTGCCAAAATGTGATAAAGATTTGTCTGAAGAGAGGTGTGAATTTGAATGTCTTATGACCTATCGTAGCTGTTTTATACTTAAAGAAATGTATAACTGATTTAATTGACTCGCTAGCAATGGTTTTTGTTTTTGTTTTTGAAATCTATAGGATGGAGCCCTGGTGGCACAGTGGTTAAGAGCTTGGCTGCTAACCAAAAGGTTGGCAGTTTGAATCCACCAGCCTCTCCTTGTAAACCCTATGGAGCACTTCTGCTCTGTACTATAGAATTGCTGTGAGTTGGAATCGACTTGACAGCGAGTTTAGTTTTTTTTTGGGTTAATCTATAGGGTATTAAAAGATATTTTCCTCTGTTGAACAAACATGCTTTAATTTATTACTTGCTTAAGACTTTCTTAGAATTCTTACTTCTAAATTCCCAGCATATGAAGATAGGCTAGTAGGCTCCAGAATTAGAGAAAAGGAGCCTTGTTCTATGTGAATGGAGAAAAGGCACAGGAGGAGGGTAGGAAGGTTGTATATGTGTCTGTGTGGCAAGAGAGAAGCAGCAACCAAACATGCTACCAGCTTTATAATTCTAAGAGTAGATGCTTGCAGGAGGTAAAGAGTAGGCTAAAGTGATGAAAAATACTTGAAATTCTCTGAAAATTGGATTCAAGAAGTCAAATACTTAAATTTGAACCCTTTCTGATACTACCTCATATTTCGAGGACGTTGTTGTCGTTAGGTGCCCTCGAGTCGTTTTCGACTCATTATGATCCCGTGTTACAGATTAGAACTTCCCATCGGGTTTTCTTGGCTGTAATCTTTACTGAAGCAGGTCGCCGGGTATTTTTCCCACGGAGCAAGTGGGTGGTTTTGGACTGCCAACCTTTAACTTACCAGCCAAGTGCTTAACCATTTGTACCACCAGGGCCCCTTATTTTGATGATATAAGGTCATAAATGAGTATTATAATATCTGCGTATATACATTAGTTAACTTGCTTCGGTTCCTATACAGCTAAAGTCAAGGGATATATTTTTTCCTATTTCTAGGCTACCTTTATCTTTCTTTTGCTTTGTCTTTTAGATTTAAGGGAGAAAGAAGAGACTGGTTCATTGATTCCTTTTTTTTTTCCCCTTCTTTTTCTTAGTTGGAATGATTAAGATCCTAAGAAAAAGCATCTCAAAGTCTCTCCTTCTTTGTATAAATAGATATTTTATGTATCAAGCCAAAGGATTCATTTGTTGTCCTCAATTGGAGGCAGTTAAAAAAAAAAGCATGTGGTATACTAAGTAGGCAATATGAAACTACTATGCGATGCAGTAAGTGGCCTGTGCAGTTGAGCTGGCTATTTGGCCTTCTGTGTGTTACATGAGGCAAAGCCTAAATATTTACACTCACATGCATGTGCGCACGCACACCCACACACATTCTTTCAGTCTTCTCTTCCGAAGGAATTTTATGGAGAGCTTGAACTTTGTATGTTCCAATAATCATTCTGAACATGTTCACCGAAGGAAAGGTTTAGAATTGAATGCTTAAGATACTGGGCCAAGTTTTCAAAGGATTGAGACAAGAGGAAGGAAAAGAGAATAACATGAAAGAGAGAGAAAAGAACAAGTGATTCATAAACAGTTCTTCCTCAAATCACTTTTCCTCAGTTGAGGGCTTTTGGATCTTTTCAGCATTAAGAAGTTTTTATTTGAAATCTTCTACTGTTTATGAGTGTGTCATTATGGAGGAAATGACAATAAAGCATTATATAATTATTACACATGGTTTCAAATCATTACATAATGAAGGTTTGAAACATTCTTATTTTGAGATCTGCTTCCTAGCCCTACTCCATACCCCCATCCAGGTTTCTCAAAACACCACACAGCTGCTGTCCCAAAAGGCATATGCTATCCCTTAGGTATGTTGAATGTGTAAAAAAAAAAAAAAAGAGAAAGAACCTATGGCTTCATGAAGCAGACTGCAAATATCCAGACTACAGGATGGTTATCCTGAACTTCTCTCAACTGATCGAGAATTTGGAGGTCAATGATTATTTTTTTTATAATGGAAAAATTAGGCCTTCATGCTAGGAAAAGACTTCTAAAATTTATCTTTTTATACCCTACAGCATTCAACACGTTTGCCTTTTTCATGGTATTAATAAAATCAGATCGCATTATTTTCTTTTGTTTTTATGTTAGGGCTATTATTTGGCAGAGCAACACTATTCAAGCACTAACACACAAATCCCAAGTTTAAATTTAGCTGAGAGTACAGGAGAGAAATTGTGAGTAAAACTATATGAATAGTGTCCTGGGCTACTACAAGGCTTTGCTATAACAGAACCCTAAATCTCAGGAATAGATGAAATTAGGCGTTGTTTTTATGGAGGGAAACCACTGTATAATTTACACAGCTTGTTTTAGGTGTCCCTAGAGTACTTTGCTAAATCATTGTCATGTTGCAGGCACCGAGGATGGCTTGCAAGACGTCTTTCTTATGTGCTTTTTGTTCAAGAGCGAGATGTCCATAAGGGCATGTTTGCCACCAACGTGAGTGAAAATGTCTTGAACAGCAGCAGGTAAGGGTCAGGATGCTGTTATAACGGGGAGGTGGCAGGAATGGGTGGTAGGAATAGGGGGAGGGTAGATTTCCTTTATTAACTTCTAATTCCTCTGGGATTCTGTCTGAAGAGATTTTTGCATTTCTAAGTATTAAATGTGAAGCCCCAAAGGAAAGGGAGGGGAACAGATGGTTTTGGTGAACAGGGCCATGTGGGAATAGCAGTCTTGTCTTATGGATTAATAATTGAATAAGTTTCTAATACATGAAAAGCAAATTGGAATTCAGAGATACACGTATTTCCAGAATTCTTTGTTAAGTTTTCTGTAATATGAAGGCTTGGATTGAAATAAATGCTATTCAATGGATAGGCTTGGGGGGTGTCAGTATCCTGCAGAATCTTTTTGTATTAATGAACTATCCGGCTATGTGGAGTTTTGCTGTACTTCAATAGTCTAAAATCAGGAGCAACAGAGGAGGAAAACAGTTATTTGAAACTCCCTTGGATTATTGTATATGCTTTTTACTTGGTAAAAAACCTTCAAACATGTTTCCTTCCAGCCAGATATTTTGACTAGTAACTGGGATGTTAGAATTGATTTAAGAAGGTTTAACCTTATACTTCCTCCCTAAGTCAGATGGAAGATTTACAAAACTGGATTAAACCCTCCCTTTTACCTCACTGCTTATTATCCTGTGCTGTTTTGAGTTGTACCTTTTTTAAATTACTGGTTTGATTTGGAAAACCTTTGTAAATATTTACGTCCCAGTTTTCTCCCTCCTAGAAAGCTTTACATGTAGTTATTTTAATGGCGTCACAATGTAAATGAAAAATAAATGATGTCTTCAAAAGAAAAAAAAACACACTTCGGCAGTGGGCTTTGAACACCGCTGAATTATATGCTTAAAGGGATAATCTTTCTTTTTCTCTCTTCTGCCGAAGTGCCACTTTGTGTCCCTCACAGCATGGGTCCCTTGCATAGTTGTCTCCCAGTGAATTTGAATTAAATTCTTAACTCTGCCTTCCAGATTCCTCAGGGGTTCATTGATTTAGGAATACTATGTCCGTAATATTTAATAGATACCCAGAAAAAGCACTTTTAACTCGAAGCTCATTCTCTCATATTACCACAAATTAAAGGGAAGGTACATTTTGTTTTGTGATTTATAGCTGTGGTTTAGAAAATGCTGAACAGAGAATGTAGCATAGAACCAATTATGTTGTTTATCTTTCCATTTCAAATCAGAGTACAAGAGGCAATTGCAGAAGTGGCTGCTGAGTTAAATCCCGATGGTTCTGCTCAGCAGCAATCAAAAGCCGTTAGTAAAGTGAGAAAGAAAGCCAAAAGGATCCTTCAAGAAATGGTTGCCACCGTCTCCCCAGCAATGATCAGGTATTAAAAGGCAAGGCAAAAAGCTTTCAACAAGAGCCATCTTGTTTTGGGTGAATAGGACGGAACCATTGGAAGTTCCTTTCCTATCAGTGTTCTTTGCCCAAAAGATGTTTTAACATATTCTGATGTCAAAACCAACTCCCCTTTTCATTCGTATTCAGCTTCTGTGTGAAATAGCACTGCGGTAGGCTTTACAGTGCCTCGGTCTCTGTTAAGTGGTGATAGCAGCCATGGTGTTACTTCGGACATCTGCTCTAAGGGACTAATTGAGAGCCCAGTTTCACTTATCCAGATCCCAAAGCACGTGGTTTCTGTGTATGAGAGGAATTGTAGTGCTACCTAAGTGTTTGCTTGTTCATTTGCTTCTGAGATATGAAGTGTGCCATTACAGTGAAATGTAAGATTTTAGTCTCAAATAAAAGAAACCTCTATAAATAGAATATATGTAAAGTAGCTTCTGAATTCCACAATCCAGACACGTACGAACACACTGTGCAAGTGCATGCGTGCATGCACACACACACACACACACACACACACAGTCATTTACAAACATTCTTCGATTTCACGTTCAAGAATCCTAAGTCAAATGTATAAATACACATTTAAGAAGATGTTTCCTTTCTTTCAGACTGACTGGGTGGGTGCTGCTAAAACTGTTCAACAGCTTCTTTTGGAACATTCAAATCCACAAGGGTCAACTTGAGATGGTGAAAGCTGCAACTGAGGCAAGAATTTCTGTGACTCTGTCATTCCGTTTTCCTCACGTTTGTATAGTGATATTATGGTTCTTTTGGAAATGTTCTTGTGTGTACTGTTGTGCATTTTAACCCATTTGGAAGGTTGTCCCCATTTGTGATAACTACAGTAGCTGTGTATTGGGCAAGAGAAGTGGGCTGAAGTAGGAACTACCAGCACTACTCAAGATTCCTTCTAAGTTGCTTTGCAGCAACCTTGAAAGTCAGGCAGAACTCTCCCTATTTTATAGATGAGGAAAGAGAGGCTCAGATGTATAAAGAAATTGTCCCAAATCACACCTAATAAGTGACTTGAAGCCTGACTCTGAAACCTGTGCTCTTTTTACATGAATAGGGCCACCTCTCAGAAGACGTTGAGGGTCTTCTCTTGATTACTCTTCCCCTCTCCCCAACTCTTGTTTATTTTTTGTTTGTTTGTTTCATTTTATTTTAGCTAGTTAAGCATTAAATTTAAGGAAGTTTATATTATTGGGAAATGTTTTTAAAGAATGAGTTACTGATTAGCCAATGCTTGAGTGATTCTAGGGGCCCTAGTGGCACAGTGGTTAAGAGCTACGTCTGCTAACCAAAAGGTTGGCAGTTCAAATCCACCAGCTGCTCCTTGGAAACCCTATGGGGCGGTTCTATTCCATCCCATAGGGTCGCTATGAGTCGGAATCGACTCGACGGCAACGGGTTTGGTTTTTTGGTTTTTTTGAGTGATTCTAACTGAATATCAAGTTTCGAAGTGTAATTAATTTTTATATTTGAATTTTAAATTTGGCATTTTTCCCTCTACTAGATGAATTTGCCGCTTATATTTCTACCAGTTCATAGATCCCATATTGACTATCTCCTGCTCACTTTCGTTCTTTTCTGCCATAACATCAAAGCACCATACATTGCTTCAGGCAATAATCTCAACATTCCTATCTTCAGGTAAGATCAACTTATTTTGAAATTTAAGATATGAAAAAGATTGTGTTTTAAATTTTTGTTATTTTCTCATTATGCTTTTTGATAACATGCTATTGTAAAGATGGCACCAGCTTTTTTTCTCTTATTATAAAAGTAATGCATGTTTATTGTGGAAGATGAAAAAGAAAACACTGTCATCATTACTTATGTGTTTTATATCAGATACTTGTTGAACCGTGGATATTTAAACTTTATAGGCAATATTGATCAAATGTATAAAAGGCAGTTAGTAAGGCAAGATAGCAAATTACTGTACGAGGCTCAGAAGTGGGGAGGTGGAGTTGGGGGTGGTGATGAGGTGGAGTGGTGATGGTGGTATAGAGTAAGAGTTAACGTACCTGTATCTTCGATCTCATAATTCAGTAGTGTTAGAAACATGTAATAATTGCAGTATAATGTACAAGTGTGTTTTAGGAGAATGTTGTGCATTCCGTACAGAGGAGAAAATACATGCAAAGGAAGGCAGATGTAAGAGCATCGTATGGTCAGGAAATGGCAGATGATTCAGTAAGGATAGAATGTAGGATGCATTAGGAAGGGCCAGAGGCAGGAGGTGGAGACTGCACAAGTAGTGAGAGCTGGATCAAAACAAGAATTTTGATTTTGTTTTGAGTTTCTAAACCAAGAGTTTGGAGTCTATCCTTACTTGGGGAGTGACGTGTTGAGATTTGCATTTCGAAAGATCATTCTGGGTTGGAAAGAGTTAGATCAATTTTGACTCTATTGCAACAGTTCAGGCAAAAGATAATGAAGGCTTACATTAAAGATGTAGTAGTGATCTTGGAGAGGAGGGTAGAGATTTGAAAATTTCTTAGTAAGTTGAATTAACAAGACTAAGGTGTAGTCCAGATGTGGGGCTAACAGACGAGGAGGAGAAGGAGAAGGAGGGAGGAAGACACTCAGGTGTTTACTGTCTAGGAAACTGGGTAGATAGTAGGGCCAGTCACCAATGAGGAATTGATGAGGAGTAGGTTTAGGTGGTTTGGGAAATTGAAGTTTCAAACTTGAAAGCACAAAGCATCTCTAAGTTCAGCTCTGTGAGTAGAGAGTAAAGGGAGGATGAATCTGGAGAGAGTTTGGCAAGGGAAGTGGGCTGGCAGATTGTGCTGGGAGGGTCTCACTAGGGAGCAGTCATTATGCTATGAAGCTGGGTCCTCAATCTCGAAGTCTGAGGGGCTCCTTCTAATCCCTTGACTCAAAGATCTGTAGCTAGCCAGACTTATGTGGTTGACTGAAGAGAAGCCATTCATTCATGCAGTCGACCGGTATTTATCCAGCTGTGCTTTAGACGAGGGTGAACAAGATACATAGTCCTTGCCTTCAAATAGCTTATAATCTAATGGGGGAATACAGACAAAAAACAACCAGCTATTTAGTACAGTGTGATATAACTCTTCAGGGACTAGAATGTCTGTCTTTGCTGTCAAGGGCATCTCTTCCCAATATCAAAGGGCCTGAGAACCAGAATTAGTCATCAGAAAGTTGTTGGTAGGCATGGACTTAGAGGGAAGCTCTAGAGAAGCCTTGTCCCATAATAGTTTATCTCTTGTAATCAGAATAATTCATATACTCATTCTTTCTAGACTTGGTCTCCAACTCGGGTCTCTTGGAAGTGCTTTATGAACACAGACAGTTTCGTACAATCCAACTCCCCTTTTTCTGAACTCCGTGCCAGTCATTGCTTAGCTCATCATTCCTTCCGACACGACAGACTACAGATAGCCTGGGCTGTTTATCTGCAGCCTTCTTTTGTTACATGTCAGTCTACACATTCATAAATCACTTCTCAGGGTGGGTTGTTTTTGGTGAATGGCTCATCTCATTCATTATGAATTCATTCTGCAGGGTTTCACTTTCAAAGAGTGGTATCACGCATTGGAGGCATCTTACCATGACCTCCTCATACTGACTATAAAAAACCAGCTACCTTTAAGTTGACCCTGACTCATGGTGACCCCACACCAATATATACATTTATATTAGTATCACTCTGTTTGAAAATAGGAGGAGGCTGTGAGTTTGAAAGTTTAGTTTAAGTATTAGAAAATTTCAACTTCATTTCAAAATTCATCAGTGATGTAGAAAGAGACACGGTGTCGTGGAAATTGTTTAATTCCTATGTATGTGTAAATTAAGCATAGTGTTGTTTCATGTTTTGGAAAGATGGTTATGCTTGGTTTCAGTTTGATAACATTATCCTTGCCTCACATGGGCACTCTCTAAGCAATAGTTATTTCAAAAAAAAATTTCTGAAGGAGCTTTTGTAACATCACATTGATTTTGTAGTAAATGTGCCATGGAACAGACTTCAGAATGTGTAAGGGTCATGTCTTGAGACCCTGGATAGAGCTTTAAAATTTAGCAGGACTCCATAATCCCCTTAAAATCGCTACCATTACCTTAGTGAGATGATGTATCATGCAAACAGCCTCCTTCTGAGTTGGAACAGATTTGGTAGAGCTTCGTTATATGCAGTGACACACTAAAGGTCAGTGAATAATGAAAAAGGCAGAAACATGTCAATAATATGGAAAATGGAAAAGTGTTCACATTTTCATTCAGTAGCCCAAACAACACTTGTGGTTTATACCCAAATGGCAAATATTTTAGAGTAACTTGGAATTTTAGTATTCTTTTTACATTTTTCTTTGTAAATAATTCATGCATTCTTGAAATTACAGTACCTTGATCCATAAGCTTGGGGGCTTTTTCATCCGACGGAAGCTAGATGAAACACCAGATGGACGGAAAGATGTTCTCTATAGAGCTTTGCTTCATGGGGTATGTACATTCTCTAATTATCCTTAAAGCCATTATGTTATCACAGAGGAAGGAAAAAAAAAGAGACTTGATTGAGTTGAGATTTTACAAAACCTGTTATCTGAGTAATTTGAGTGATTATTGCTTAGATGTGGGTTTGATGACTATTCTTTGTCACAACTAAAAGATAGCATTGGATGAGCTGCCTTGTTATTATTTGTGTGAGTAAAATGTTGAAATCATAGTTTTAGTTTGTTTTGTTTTTAGTATTACATTTTGCTGAGCTCATTCTAAGTTGGGTGGTTTTAAATTCATGGTTTGCTTTTCCCTTATATTCCAGCATATAGTTGAACTACTTCGACAGCAGCAATTCTTGGAGATTTTCCTGGAAGGCACACGCTCTAGGAGTGGAAAAACCTCCTGTGCTCGGGCAGGCCTTTTGTCAGTTGTGGTAGATACTCTGTCTACCAATACCATTCCAGACATCTTGATAATACCTGTTGGGATCTCCTATGATCGTATTATTGAAGGTCACTACAATGGCGAACAACTGGTAAGAGGACTGACTGCTACACAAAAGTCTTCTTTGCTTTTCAGGTCTTTTGCTTTTAGATCAGTGCCTTTAGAATTAACTAAGATTATGTTTTTTGGTTCTCCCTAAGTTTAAGACCCTGTATGAAACATGGTAGGGTGGGCATGGTGAGTGGCTTTCATCTCACACGTCAAACTGATTGGTAGTGCTAACATGGTGCTTTCCTGCACTTGAAAGAAGGGCCCCAAACCCAAAACCAAACCCATTGCTGTTAAGTTGTTTCTGACTCATAATGACCCTGTAGGATGGAGTAGAACTGCCCCATAGGGTTTCCAAGGCTGTAAATCTTTATAGAAGCAGACTGCCACATCTTTCTCCTGTGGAGCGGCTGGTGGGTTTGAACCAGCAATATTTTGGTTAGCAGCCTAGTGCTTAACCCCTGCACTGCCAGGGTTCCTTTTGGAGGAAGAGACATGATTAGATTTGTTAGTGTTGGCCTTGGTCATGGGACTGGGAAATGGATGCGCACTGGTCACTGAGTTGCTGTATCTATAAATTCATTGCTGTCAAGTTGATGCCAACTCATAGCAACCCTAAAGGACAGAGTAGAACTGCCCCATAGGGTTTCTTTTCTGTTTTTTTTTTTTTTTTAATTGTTGTGCTTTAAGTGAAGGTTTACAATTCAAGTTAGTCTCTCTCGTATGAAAATGTATACAGATGTTGTTATGTGACCCTTGTTGCTCTCACTATACTGTGACAGCATGCTCTTCCTTTCCACCCCGGATTTCCCATATCCATTCAACCAGCTCCTGACCCTCTCTGCCCTCTCATCTCACCTCTGGACAGGAGCTGCCCATTTAGTCTCATGTATCTACTTGAGCTAAGAAGCACATTCTTTATGAGTATCATTTTATGTCCCATAGTCCAGTCTAATCTTTGTCTGAAGAGTTGGCCTCGGGAATGGTTTTAGTTTTGTGCTAACAGAGAGTCTGGGGGCCGTGTCTTCTGGGGTCCCTCCAGTCTCAATCAAACCGTTAAGTCTGGTCTTCTTATTAGAATTTGAGTTCTGTACGCCACTTTTCTCCTGTTCTGTCAGGGACTCTCTCTGTTGTGTTCCCTGTCAGGGCGGTCATTGGTGGTAGCTGGGCACCATCTAGTTCTTCTGGTCTCAGGCTGATGAAGTCTCTGGTTTATGTAGC